GGAAGAATTGAATATTCAGTTTCTCATGTTGAAAATACATGTGATGGTAAAGAATCAATATTTTGTAGCTGCATTGAATTAAATCAAAATGATCTGATTTAGATAAAATAAATACGAGTTAAATAAAAAAAACATGATTAACCTTCATTAAAAAAATCTCGATTTGTTTTTCTTTTTAGTGGGCCTTGTCTGGTGGGCCCTTCCCGCGCATGTAAACATGATCTTGTTGGTCGGGGACCTCTGACCAATAACTTACCAGAGTAAAGCGCACTCATATAGGACGTGTGCCGCTCGCTTGTCCTGAAACATACCAGACGACCGTGGCGCCGTCTTGCGAGTCTGCTACTAAGCGGGCACGCGTCCGATGACATTGCAGAAAAAGGTCTAGCGGAGAGGATTTCGAGAGCATTTTCGACTCTCACCGAGCACGCGACGGATTATGATCGCGTAACGTTGCGTTTGAATGCCTTATCATTATAGTACGCTTGTGCATGCGCTGACCACGAACTTCTTTGAAGCACACGTATTCAAAGTTCGCAACGTCGCCATCGGGATGGCGCCACAGAGGACGCATAGCAACGGAGATTGCACTGGACTGGCTGGTTATATGGAGCGACGCCATGACCTAACACCTAGCAACCGAAGATCGCCGGCGACGTCCCCCTTCGCCAATTTTGGCGCCGCGCAGTTGGGGACGGCGGGTGTATTCCCGGCATACCTCGGCAAACCTCACTCATGAGGGCCCTCACTCACCTTTACTCACCCTCATCTTCACATGTGAGGTGAGGTGAGGGTGAGTGAGCTTCTGAACCAGGAAAATTCATGAGTGTGAGGGCGAGTGAGGGTCGTGAGGGCTGTGAGGGCTCTGAGGACCATGATTGCGTGAGGGCCGTGAGGCGTGAGGGGTGTGAAGGCCTTGAGTTGGCTTGAGTGCGTGAGGGGCGTGAGGGCGGTGAGCGGCGTGAGGGCCATGATGCGTGAGGGGTATGAGGGCCGTGAGGGCGGTGAGTGCGTGAGGGGTGTGAGGACCGAGAATGCGTGAGGGGCATGAGGGCGGTAAGTGTGTGAGTGGAATGAGTGCGTGAGGGGTGTGAGGGCCGTGAGGGCGTGAGGGGTGCGAAGGCCATGAGTGTGTGAGGGGCGTGAGGGCGGTGAGTGCGTGAGGCCCCCTTCAATCTCAAGAAAAAAGGGTGTAAAAGGGTGTATCGTTACACCCTTCGTCGCATATAATACACCCCAAAACTTCATTTCGACGTACTGAGCCCTATAGTCCAACAGACGGCCCCAAATTTTACGAGGGGCTTGATAGCCGTGTGGTACAAATTATTAAAATAGCTAATGTACGTTTTACCGACTACAAAAAAAAATAATCGGGGTTTTCTTGGCCCTACTGTAAAAAAAAAACTCGGTGTTTTCTTTATGTGGTCTTTGATACGTACTTTAGCTATATAAAAAGTTATATCGTATCGTTATGAAGCCCCTCGTAAAATTGGGGCCGTCTGTTCGATTATAGTGCGCTGTACGTCGAACTAAAGTTTTGGGGTGCATTATATGGGACAAAAGACACCGTTTTACACCTTTTTTTCTTGAGAGCGTTCAGACGGAGTCACTTTCTCATCAATTTTGTTGTTGCTGGCGGGTTGTTCCCTAGCTTGCCCTAGATCGACACAAATTGCTGAGATCGGGTCCGGCTCGAAACAAGCGAGCTACTCGGAGCAGTTCGAAAACGTTTGAAGAGGCTCCATCCAATCAGGGACGCGATATTTTCACGTGATACCTCGTGCCGGTGATGACGACAACAAAAGACTTGGTTCTGGTTTGAAATTGATCGCTTTAGGAAATAAACTGTTTCAGAAAGATGCATTAGTATTCTCAACGAGATTTAAATGTATAAAAACACGTTTATAGCGCGTAATTGTGTGTCTAAATAGTGCAAGAAAAATGAAATTTCATGATGATGATGGCAAATTGAAACAATTGGGTGCTGCGTGTGAACGCGGGTGGCCCGTGTTGCTGGCGTTGCGACGTCAAGTTTCTGGGCGAAATTGCGTGCGTGAGGGCCGTGAGGGCGGTGAGTGCGTGAGGGGCGTGAGGGCCATGAGTGCGTGAGGGCCGTGAGGGCGGTGAGTGCGTGAGGTGCGTGAGGACCGTGAGGTTCAGTGAGGGTGAGTGAACGGCTGAAGGTGAGTGTGACTGTGAGGATGAGGGTGAGTGAGTGGCTAAAGGTGAGTGTGGTTGTGAGGGGGTGAGTGAGGGGCTTAGGTGAGTGTGGCTGTGAGGGTGAGTGAGAGCGACCTAAAATGCCAACCTATTTCCCGGGCCGCGTGTCAACCCAGCCCGGTCCCCCTGTTCACGCCGCTTTGCGGCTACAGTCTGTTGATGGCCCGTCGCAAGACATTAGCCCACCTTGGCCTACCCGTACACGCCGCCTCGCGGCGCTCCGTCAAAAGCCCAAGGACGCCCTCGCCCCGTTGTCAGGTGCTACGTCACGCGGTTGGCGTGCAGGTGTGCGCTCTGGACGATTTGGAAGCCCGCCGTCTTTGGAGACCTGTGGACGAACACGGACTGCGATTCCGTTCTTCGGCCGGCCACGCCGTTCTTGACGCTCAGTCGTATTACCACGTCATCGGGCCGTAAGCGCACGGCGTCGTCGCCCCCGTGTGCACAACGTGTATGCACAGCAACGAAATGACTCTGCCGTTTTCCGCGCATCGCGCGCACGCCTTTCATGCACACGCTATGTGACCCGATCTGCTTGCGCCAGGGAGAAGAGAGGTTCCGGGAATATTCACCCCGCGGAAAATGCTGAGAGACTGCATTCACCATGTTTTGCTTTATTTAACCGCAGAGCGATATGCTGACAGATTTCTTCGAGAATCAGCGTGGCGGCAGAAGCGATGTTAAAGGCCCGTTCACCCACTTGCAACCGTGCAGGACCGACTGAGACAAGACCGGTCTTTAAGCCTCTTGCTACAGCTTAGGACAGGATGCGCCGCTGCGGAGCAGGCCCTAAGCCGTCACAAGAGGCTTAAAATCCGGTCTTGTCTCAGCCGGTCGTACTCGGTTGCAAGTGTTTAATGCGTTAGCATTAGAACGCTCGTTTTCACGAAAGCCCGCCGGTGTCACTCCGTGCGTCCGTTTGCTAGCGCCGTGCATGTGGCGTAGCAAGGAGAGTGGATTGGTGAGGGGGTATCGTGTTCAAAGATTCTATGTCTCACCACAGCGGTAGGGAGAGAAAGAGAGAGGGCGTCAGTGCTTCAGACGAACACGAGCGTCGCACAGCTCGCGCGGAGCCAGAGATGAGCAGGCGCTGCGCCGCTTCGGAATGCGGCCCAGCTGAGTTGTCGCTCCGTCGGTGGATGGGCTTCTTTCCACGGGTCAGATGGCTGACCGTAACCAAGAGCGACGATGGAAGAAAGCCAAGGCCACGCGTCGGCGACTTCAGGCCGAGACAGAGGAAGAACGTGAGCGTCATTTGACTGTTGCCGCACAGGCAAGGCGACGGAAGCGTGCGGCGGAAGGCGAAGAAAAAAATTAAAAGAGGGTGAGAAAAGGTTGAAAACTGGTCATAAACAATTTCAAAGGGCTCATAAACGAATAGAAAGGGGTAATAAACGACAAGAAAACGGTGATAAACGAAAGGCAAAAGTCCCTAAATGACTAGAAAGGGGCGAAAAAGGGCTGATAAAGAACCAGTGCTAACACATTTTCATCGAATGAACCTCATTGATCGTCGAATAATTTTTTATATCCGCTTACCGAGAGGTTTAAAAGCTCCAACTTCGATATACCGCAGCAATGAGTGGAACCCAGATGCAAATCGACAACCGCCACGTCACTTGTCTTTCAAACGCGCTTGTGCCCGGACGCGGTTATGTCAACGTGAAACTGGGAGACGAAGAAGGTCGTCAAGGAAGGAGACGATCGGCCACAGTAATTGTGGGCGTTATCTTCCGGGCGTGTGAGGACAAACAACCAAGCTGTGTTCGAATTAGGCAGGCGCGCTGCTCGTGCTGGCTCCTGCAGCAGTTAGGTTGTTACGCCAATGACAAATGGCATTTTGCACCTTGCGCTTGTCGTTTTATTTTAGGCATTTACTTCGATTGTTTCCTGCAGACCGGGCGAGCACGTGCAGCGCTTGTATATTTACAGACCTGCCCCTTGGTATTCCAATCAGTCGTCAAAACGTCGACGTTACCACACTTTCAGAAATCAAAACCCTGAGGTCGTGATCAAAATAAAATAGATCTAGCCCTGTTCATCGGCCAGGATTCACCAAAACCAAAAACGCTACTTAAAAAAAGAAAGAAGAAAAAATGCGCCCCCGCTTTTGTTTTACGCACCCATGTGAGAAACACTTCGAGCTTCGCGCGCCAATGTTACTGCTAATGCATTTGATGTTCACCAAAATGCTAGGAAGATTTCTCATGCCGCATGCCCGTCAATATGGTGGACCGAATCACCTCATGTAGTTGCCCTCATTATTCCTAATATTTTCTCGCTGGCTGCACGAGGGCTGACAGCACTTTCCAGTTACCCATTGTGGCGGCGTTCTACATGGACGTATGGTTTTATTGGCGTATTACGCCTCGTCCCGCAAACATACTAAAGAAAGCAATTACTCTAAAAAGAACTATCCCAATCGGCACGAACTTGAACAAACGTTTTCACAGCATGCTTTCAACGCCGCAGTGCATTTTATAAATGTGAGTCGATCACTGCCGGTCAGAGACATATTGGTCTTCACGCCTTGCTTGCAGGTTCGACTTGCTCGAAACGAAATTATAGTCTGTCTTATTTTTAACTAAGATCATTGCATAAGAAACGGTTGTCAATGCCAGGCTTGGATGCTCTCTGATGCCAGCCTTGACACGGATCTTTTTTTTTTAGATTATATATCGAATGATTCCATCTCGAGCAAGCCTGGGAAAGTGCCACGTACTGCAATTGCATAAGAACGTCGTACGTTCTATAAAAAATACCTTTATGGCACTCCGTACCTGAGTGACTGACGCTCGCAGCGCGCCATGACGTTCTCGGGCAGGACGCGGTACAGGTCTTCAGCGTCAGTGACCAGCTCTTCCTCGAGCATGCGCAGCAGGGCAGGGAGGCTCATCTCGCCGTCGGTGCCTTCGGCTTCGGGACCCCCGGAGGCGCGTTCGGCAGCGTCCTCGGGGTGGCTGCTGGAGCGAGCTCCCGACTGGCGCGTGTTTTCTGCCGACATGGCGTCCAAGATGGCGTTCTTGAGGAAGTCCAGCACTTCTTCCAAGCTGTCCTCCGGCACCGTCAAGTTCATCAGCGAACGGATCACCGCCCTGTACCGTGGTTCGATCGAAAAAGACCCTCAACAACAACACTCGATTTTGTTCGTGTATTTATTTATTGAAAGTGCTGACTCGTTTGATATCACTATTGTGTCCGAGACGCGTGTCCGACTAATGCGTTTACCGTCCAATTCCAGCCATGCATCGAAATTGGTACCGAAGCGGCAACAAATGACGTCACAAAAGCCGGAGTGTCATGCTGTCGGATGTCGCGATCCTTGCGGTTGACGCTAGAAGTCCCGGCAAGAAGTAGGAGCGAACACGAGTGGCGTCGGAGGGTCCCAACGCCTGGTTCCTGACTGGGACTGTCAGGCTGGGCTCTACGTTGGACACTCGGCGGGAGAGTCGGCGAGATCGCCGACTTTCTCGCCGGGTGTCCCTTGGAGAGCGACCTTGCAGCGTAACGGGTGCCTGCCCCATACAGGGCCGGATTATCCAGGGTTCAAATGAACCCCTCGTGGAGAGCACTTCTTAACCCTAACATGCTGTAACAAATAGCGACTATCGTAATTTGGCTCGCAAAACTCAAACCGAATGTCAGCCAGAGATTGACTATATATCGTGGCAACAAACATGATTAATTAAATGAAAGGACGACTTTATCTATATATAACATTTGTCTCTTATTACTACTTTCAGCACCTTACTTGCAAACTTTATTAAGGATCATTAGATGCAGAACCGCGCGATCGATTACAGATCTTTAATTACGAACGCAGCAAAACAAGGCAGCAAAAAGGTGATCCGGCCAGCATTGTATACTGTGGTGCCTAAAGTGTGCTTCTGGTAAAAGGGTAAAATGAACCGGATTACCCCACTCACTCGTGCACCCAAAAACTTTCGCTCTGGCGGCCGAGGCGAAACACATCTACGCCCGATAGACATCCTCTGCGTGCGGAAGCTCGAAAGCCCCTGAAAAGAAGATGGGTGCAATTTTTTGGCTCCGTTAGTTCGTGTTTTTTTCTGTGAGATTTTTGGGGTAAAGTTTTTGTGCTTTGACCGTCACCGAAAATCTTAGAAAATCATATCACAGCCTAGATTTTTGCTCGGAGGTTTTGACGTCGTCGTTAATGATAGTTAGCTCTGTGCAACAAGTAAGCACTGAAACAATGCTACGCGTCCGTGAATCACGAACTGCAAATAGATGCTCGCTTCGTTTCAGGGTCGTATGTTTCATTATTGCAGCCTATTCAGGAAAGTCTGGTTTGTATGCGCACTTGGCGTCATACTTCACCCGTGTCCATTTGTGTCGACCACAATTAGGTTGATGGCTTCATTCTTTTTCACTTTTTCCCTGAAAAACAAAAGCGCCTCGAAGACAACGGGAATGAGCAGCGTGCAGGGGCGGATCAAGAACTCCATTTAGGGGGGGGGGGGGGGGGGGGGGGGGGGGGGGCGTGAAAATATATATATTTTTTTTGTGTGTGTGGAGGGGGGTATGAAGTAAGACAAACAGGACTCCGGTTGGGCCTTTTGTTTTCGCCGCCACAGAACCAGACTGCGCCGACGGCCCCTAGATGTGCGCCGCTGCGCCGACCTATTGGCTCCAAGCCGTGTTCTGAAACCCACGCCGCGGACATCAGTATCGGTTGAAGCGACGGACTGGTTCTCCAAGTTCAGGGAAGAAAAAGGAGTTACCGAACAGCCGAGTCGCTGTTCTCTGTGGCTCTCGGATTTTCTCGCTAACGAATAGATTCCGAAGTCTTTGCGACTCCGCAAAAAGGTTTAGGGGATGCTCGAGCCCCGAAAACACCCAGAAGTTCAACAACATGGAATGTGAAGCAACCCTACATCTCGACCAAGTAGACCTCACCCTGGCAGAGCCAGCGAAGCAATACTCGAATGACGACGACGGCAATCCAAACCCCTGGATCACCGTGCTACCGCACCACTTCAAAAACCGAAACTATGACACCGTAGTCATCAGAACCACGGACGGCCTCAACCTCAAGGAAACGTCACATCCGAAGATCGGACAAGCGATCACGCTTGCCGCCCAATTCACACCGGATGAGAGGCTCGAGACCTTTTTTAAAGTACGAGAAGGCCCTAACCTGATAGCAGCCGACATCAACCGCCCTTCGGCGAAAAGTAAACTACTACGACTAACCTCGATTAACATCGACGGGCGTCAACAGACCGACATCGACCTACCTCGCCATGGGCAGAGACCAGGTCAGAGGGGTTGTTCACGGTCTGGACAGTCTAGACGATGCCAGCCTACAAAACAGTATCCAAAGTCATGATCGCACCATACTATAAGCACACAGGATGAGAAGGAGCAACACCGTGCTCATCACCTTCGCAGGTCTTCACCTTCCAATGTATATAACGGTAGACAGAGTGGTCACCAAAATCTACCCCTACCGACCAAGAAGCATTCTATGCCTGCCGTTTTCGTAGTGTAGTTTCATCGAAACTACACTACGAAAACCAGTGTCTCCCAACTAAAGGTTCTTTCTAATTTAACTTCTCTTGAACCACGTCGGACAATAGTTCGCCTTACTCCTTTTTATAAGTTTTATTACAACATGCCATAATTCATGCTCACTCACTCTAAGCCTGCCTCATACATTTCTTTGCGTCATGATCATTCCTTAAAAATTGCACCTTTATTCGGTCGCACTAATAGATAAAAATACTCTCCTCTTGCTCTGTCCATTAAAAATTGGAAGTATTTCCCATACGACATAGTCACTGAACAGAACGAAATAATATTCCGCGAAAAATCTTCGGCTTTGGTACTATGATATGTTTTCAGCGCCATGTCTGCTTGTGTTTGCTATAAATTGCGCACTGTGTCCCCAGTTCTGTTGTGCCCGGTTTGCGTAAACTTTGTTCTAAATTCTGTATAGTACGTTATTTAGTTTTTGTTTGTTGTTAATTTTTAATCTTAGTTAGTTCTTTAATTTCCATTGTATCATTGCATTTGTTTGTATTTTTCTACCCCCCCCCCCCCCCCCCCCTCATGTAATACGTTCGAACGAACGTTTTTGAGGCGAATAAAACTTGAACTTGAAGCAGAAAACCAGCATCACTTGCCAACAGTGCAGCCAGGAATTTCCCCTGGGCTCTGAGCTCGCAGAGCATCATCAATGCATCCTTTACAGCCACAACTGTGGAGACGAACGTTCTCCTGCAGACGCTCAATGCCCGGTCAGGCTCAAGGCAGACATAGACCTGAATCACAGCATGGAGATGAGAACAGACGCTCAATGCACGGTCAGGCTCAAGGCAGACATAGACCTGAATCACAGCATGGAGATGAGAACAGACGCTCAATGCACGGTCAGGCTCAAGGCAGACATAGACCTGAATCACAGCATGGAGATGAGAAGACAGTGGCAACTTACGCAAAGGAAGAACAACGGACCACCACAACGAACCACGCCAAAAAGTGCCCCATCCTACGGCCCAACCACCTCAAATCCGTACCAGCTGCTTTAAGACGATGAGTTTCCAGTCCTGCCTGACAAAGCAGGATAGCTCCAGCCAAACCGAGGCCACGTGCTAGAAGTCTTAGCATGAGCCCAGCAAGAAGCGTGAGTAGACCTTTACACTACCTTACAGCTCCAAATAACACACCAGCACGCACAGCACGCATATCACAAACGTATAAAGAAGCGTTAACACAAGCTAGACGCCACCAATTGACAGAGAATTCAGACAAAGCGAGGGTTCAAAACCTTCAAGCTAAAGCTTCGCAGGCCACAATTATGGACATGGAGGAGAACGAGAGTGTCGCGCCGTCAATCACCTGCTCACAGAGTAGAGAAATCATACCTGGCTTGAACCCTCAAGCCAGCGCAATCCTAATACAACTTGTGAGACAGACGGAAATCATGCAAAACCAGATGACCCTCCTAGAGGAACACATAAAAGGTTTAGACGCCAAGATCAACATGCTATTAAACAGAAAAAGAAGCATCCTTGCAGAACCAATCGGTACCAATAAAGTAACACGCTCAGAAACCCCTGAGCCCCAACATGAATAAACAGAGCAAAGAAAAGCAAACAGCAGACACAGTAATATGGCAATGAAATTGTAGATGCCCCAGAAGAAAAAAGCTCAACTTCTTTTCTACATCCAACACGCGGCACGTAAACCAGATATATTACAAGAAACAAATGGAGACTTCTGTCTCTCTGGATATCAGAAATTCACTGAGCCAAGTATTACACGCCTGCAAAAACGGTCGAGTAAGAATCAAAACCCAAATGGACCTCAAACACCAACCATGACTAGAACATACGTGGCAAATAGTATCCCCACAATACAGCTAGAAACCGAACAGTACAACTCAGACAAACAAGAAATGGTAGCAATAGAATGCCAACTTCAAGGCAGCGACACCAGGTGACCACCCGTCCCGCGACTCGCGGGACTGTCCCGCATTGAGGGGTCGTGTCCCGCGTCCCGCGAGAAAGTCCCGAATCTACAAAATGTCCCGCATTTCACACTGTCGTAAAATTCACTCCGCAACTCACGGTTCTGCCGGAAAGTGGGGCAGGGGGAAGTGCGGAGGTCGCTAGTAATTGTGTGAATCGAATTGGGATCTATCCAAGCATTGCGGGAAGCGACCGTCATTCGTGCAAGCGGACCGAAGCGCATGGGACGTTGTGCCTCTCCCTTTGGTGGGAAAATAGTGTACGAAAAGGTTCTCGCCAAATTTAAATATAAAATATTGTAATTATTTTCAAATTTCCGTGCCAATGCAAAAAATGTGCTGTGGATTTTTTTTTTTTAGTAAGGCAGCCACACATGCAACGGTCAAAAAAGAACATAATGTTAAAAAGTTGTGTAGCACCATGCCAATGCGGAAGGTTTGCTGTGGATTTCTTTTTTCTTTTTTAGTAAGGCAGCCCCACATGCAACGGTGAAAAAAGAACATAATGTTAAAAATGTTGCGTAGGACCCTGTTGATAGAAGTAAGCGTGGACAGGAAGCAATAACCAGAAAAATGTTTACTGT